GGTCTACTGACCAAGGCCTTCTGGCCATCCCAAAATTCATATTAAAAGCTAAAGGTCACCAGATATTTCCTGTCATTGCTCCCACCCTCTGGAACCGTCTTCCCTGAGTTATAAAAAATGCAGAGCCATCAACAGTTTTAAGAGGTTGTGAAAAACTCCCCTATTTGATAAATATTTAACTTGGTCTAGTCCTTATGGTTCCATTGTTTTTGTTTGTCCTCTGTGTGTGCTTCTTCATGTTTGTATTGTACAGTACCTTGTAACTTTGGTTCTGAAAGGTGCTTTATAGATAAAATGTATTTGCTGACTTACTTATTCACATAATCTTAGAGTTTTTGCAGCCTTTTGCAACTTGTGTAAACATCATCCTCAAAACTAGGTTGTGATTACGCAGTCACAGAAACCTGGTTTCTGCTTTTTAACAATAATGTTTTAAGCAGCACAAATAAAAAAAACTATCTCCTCTATTGTGTTTGGGTGACACCGAAATCAACACCTACATCTCAACACCTGGAGGGGAAGTGGATGAAATAACCCTTTAAAGAATTAAACACTTCGAACACAACCTGTTGCATGAAGTGTAAATTTCAAAAAGCATTGTTTAGATGAGCCATCTGAATTTTTAAGTCAACCCACTAACACCTGAGAGGCTTTGTAAGCACGCTCTTCACTGTACTTGTCAAACTCCCCAGACAGGAATCTGCAACAACAACAAAAAGAAAGACAATGGCCCTGTTCATACCTGGCATTAATGTACGAGCTGGGTGATCTGCTTACAAGTGAGACATGCGTTTCAGTGAGTCTTCCTTTTTTTATTTTTACAAGTGACCCACTGTCACACTCATTAAGTCATTAAATCATTTACACATAAAGTCTGCAGCTTTGAGAAGCCTCAGGATTCTTCAGAAAACAACAGCAGCCACCTGAAGTAATGGAAACTCATACGAGGTTATATAGAGACAGAAATTTAAGCCAATGTTATCTACCTCTCATAGTCTGTCGGTTGGTTTCCAGTGTTTTTCTCAAAGGACATATACGGCTCCTGCTCCTCATAAATCCCCTCATCATTATACATGTCGCTGTTCCAGGCCGCAGGCTGTGAGAAGGAGGCTCCAGGAGACGACCCTGCCTTCCCCACGTAGATGTTCTCGTAGTCTGGAATCTCCTCATAGTGACGGATGTTCTCGTAGTAAACATCTTGATCCATCCCAGGGGGGACATCATCTCCGTCCACGCTTTGCTCCACTCCAATCAGAGGACAGGATGATTTACGTACCAACCTGTGATGCTCTGAGAGGTTCTGACATGCATCTTGGTGATTGTCAACACTTTGCTCGTTGTCGTTGGCAGTGCAGTCTGGGCTCTGGCCTCCTCTTGCTTTCAGCTTGGGCAGCATCTTCACCGAGAGCTTCAAGTCCAGCAGTTTCCGGAAGGAGCTCCTCCTCAGTGCGTTGGAGCATATGAGGTCGGCACCAGCGAACGACTTGGCTCTCTGTTTGCCCAGGCTAGACCGTGGGGGCTTAATGACTCCAGGTGGTAGGAGGCTTCTTCTTGCTTTCTCATCTGGAGGCAGAGGCAGTTCCCTCAGCGCTCTCTCCCTCAAAACACAATCTTGTCTGGAAAGCACCTCCTGCCCTTTCTCATAATCTCCTAATTTTTCACTTTCTTTCTCCTCAGAGGATCCCATACTCTGGATACACGTCTTGGGGCTGCTGTGTCTCTGCGGCTTCTTCGGGAGCGCCTTAACTAAAACATTCTCTGTTGCCACGGTGAAGGCAGGAGGTTGGCTGATGTCTGGCTGATTGAGCGAACAGCTAGAAGCTGGACAATGTGTGAGGTCACCGAAGACTCTCCCCTGATCTTCCTTTCCTTCTGTGTCCTTGTCCACCTCTTCTTCCTCCATGTCAACCGACACTTCCATCTCATAAACGCTGCTGTCCCAGCCCAGGTCCTCCTCGTCCACGTCCTTTGGCAGCATCTCAGGTGACGCTCTCTCAGGTGCAGACAGAAAAGGCTTTTTCTTGGGTGGAGGGGCTGGTGGAGCACAGACCTTTCTCACAGTCAGAACAATCGGCTGCTTGTTTTCATTTACAGGTACACTGACAGACAGGGGTGCGCTGTCCTTCCCCTCCGATGACACCTTCACCTCTCTGACGTTCATTTCCCTCCCTTCCTGCATGCTCATAGTCTCTTCTCTCTGTTCCTCCACCTTTTCCTGAGCAGCCAGAACAGCTGTCCTGGGTTTCCGTGGCACGGGGACTGGTTTGGGTTGGGGCATGCAAGATATTTGCCCTGAACTAAGAGCCTCTTCCTTCTGTCCTCGCCCAGGTGGACCTAGAGGTGTTATGTTACCATTTGCCTCATTGTTGCGCATACTGTGAGGAAGAGAGGGCCTAACAGTCACCACAGGACTGGAGGTAATGTCTGTGTGAGGATTTTTGTCCAAATTGAGCATCTCTTGTAAAGGTTTATGGTGAGTGGGGTGGATATTGGTAGAGGCAGACTGTGGTGGTTTATCGCTAATCACGTGGCTCTTAGCAGTGTCCGTTCTCTCTCCACTTTCCACCGCCCCTCTAGATGTTTGGGGAATCTTTCTGTTTTCTTCACTTCTACCCTTCTGCGACTCTTTCTCCGTTTTGTCTCTGCTTGCTGCTGTGCTCCTGATGCATTGGCAGTTTTCCTGGCTACACAAGCAAATAGGAATAATATAATCCCAATCCGGCTTTTTGTTCTCTTGCTGTATTCCATTCTGAGAGTTCAGCAGACCAATGGCGCGAGGGTTTTCTGTTACAGATGATTGGTGCGAGCTCTTTGAAGCGAGGGGTTTGGATTCCACCGCGGCGAATGTGAGTTTTGAGAGGCAGGGTTTGGGGGCCAGTACTGGTTTGACCCTCCTTGGCGTGACAGGAGACGGGAGAGATAGCCTGTCTCTTCTGGCGGTGGAGGGAGAGTGTCCCAGCCTCTGGGGCTGCACCAGCTTTGGTTTCGGGGCCAGAGGTGGCTTGTGCATGCCTGAGGAGAGAAAAACAAAACACACTTGAAATTTTGAGTTTATCAGCACCACAGTCAAGCTAAAGCTATTTATAGAGCAGCTTTTCTACTCTTGATAACAGCATATTTTGCCCATTCAACCATTCACACACATTCATACAGTGTATCTTTGTGCAGCACTTTCTCTTTCACTAATCACTGCTGGTTCAGCCATCAAGGGCAGTCAAGGGTTCAGCATCTTGCCACAGCCGCCCAGAAAATGATTATGGCTCTAATCTGACACAATGTGAAAACCATGTTCTCAAAATCCAGACGGCATGTCAGATGTATTTTCAGTCGTCAGACAGATGTTGCTCTAATGGAGCTTCACTCCTAACTCGTCAGATTCACTCTGCAGCATTGATCCTGACCGAATGACAGCTTAGTGTAAAACTGTAAAGTACTACAGCACCTCTCCGGGGGGTGGGGGTTCAAATATCACATGGCTTTTGTTTGCCACTGCACACAGCAGCACAGTAATCCAGCTAATGGCCCGTGTCAACATGGCAGAGGAGGAGGAGGAGCAGATGGGAGATGAAGAGTGAGGAGGGGGTCACAGGGACTGGAGAACAGTCACGCAAACTGGTACATCTGTCTTAACTAGTGCCCTAAAATCTTCTGTGGAATACTGTAACCATAACAGGCTGATTGAAAGGCATCTTGATGTTTTTTTATTTCCCTACTCAGCAAAGCATTAAGTGGTACACAACATAAATCTACATAAACACTCTAATGCAGTGGTTCTCAAAGTGGGGGGTGGTCTCCCCTGAGTGTGTGTGTTTGTGTGCGGTGGGGGATCAGTTGGGATCCTATTTAATAAATTGCTTCCCCCATCTTGTTAATGACTGATAAGAAATAATCATTTGAGAATTGGTGCTTTAAAGTCATTTCATTTGGAGGTTGTTTGCACAATCACTCAGATATGTGACACACAAGTTAAATGCCCTAAATAATAATACATTTTTAAAGGCAGGAATGCCTGTACAACACACACACACACACACACACACACACACACACACACACACACACACACACACACACACAGTCGCAATAAACTTCACACAAAACATTTCTGTCGCGTTGTTTATTTGTATAAATGAGAAATAAATATATGAACATCTGTTGTATTGTCTGTTTGTATGAAAGTGTGACAAACAAATCAAATGGTTAATAAATCACTGCTTTTAAAATGTCCTGATTCTCACGCACACACGAATCACACAACAACAGTTGTCAGTTGTGAGTTGTCTCTCACTCACCTGAGTTCATCCTCGCTTCTCTCTCTTCACTTTCTTCTTCTGTCAGAACAGAGGAATCAAACCTTCTCCGGTTGTCACATCACGAACCGACGACTCAAACTAAGTTACCAACATTGTTTCCTCGAGTTTGTCCGAGAGCAACACTTGCGGTCCCGCTGCAGACAGCTCAGTCACCAGCAGCTCCGACTGCCTGCGGTATGAACCAGGGAGCTCGTAGTTTCAACAAACGACCACTAGAGGTCCTCAGTGAGCACAGACTGCCGGATTTAATAATTAATTAAACTCCTTTAAATATGAACATAGTAAACACAAGTTGAGTGTAATGTTAACTAAGTCTAACACGTTACACATTACGTTTCTTGAGTGGCAAACACACATTTATTTCCATGTATATCATCATTACTTAAATTAGCAACACTGTATATGACTAAGAGTCAGAGTGGTAGTGTGTAAGCCATATCTGATGAATAGTTGAGGAAGTAAAACTCCGAAAAATCTTCATGTTGTAACCTGATCTTTCTGTCTGTAAAGGAGGAAGGGGGTGAATAACAGCAACTGGAAAAGAAGTGAGAATAGTTCTGCACATGTATGTGGGAGAGACATTACAACAAAATATTGGAAAATTAAGCGTTTATTAAAATGATCAAAAATTCAAATAACACGTGTATTGAGAATATTCAGAACACAGTGAAACATCTGCATCTTATTTTATTATCTTGGATCGCTTGATGTGTGCAAGAGTTGCTGGTACATGCACCTCAATGTCAAAAGGGAAAGAAATGTTGTATCTGCAGTCCCATATAGGTGCAAAATTGCATACTACGTATATTAGGTGTTTGCCAACATTGACTTAAAGTCACTGGAGTACAGCATTTATTCAAAGTGTTGTCAAAGGAACATGTGGAAATGCTGTTGTCTGTTTTGATTTGACACAAAAGTCTCTCTGTCGTTGCTGCGATGCCTCAGGAACTTTAATGGTTTTTCTGTTCAGGAAGAAGACATCAGACAGGTATGTCAACCACATGTCTTAAAAACTGAATTGTACTCATTAGAGTGCATACCTGTGCCAACAAAAAACACATTTAAATTCACTGGATCCCTATTTTTAATTGGATCTGCATGAAATTGCTCCCCACTGATCCAGATCCACACAAACATTTTATTAGTTCTTCCTTGCTTCATGAACCATCCCTCCACAAAATCACACTGAATTCGTTTGGTAGTTTTTGTCCCTCTAACTAACAGACAAAAAACACAGATGAAAACCTTCTTGGTGGAGGCAACAAACAACACAACCAGAATGAGAGTCAAAGTTGATACAGATAATTAGCTAACGTGCAGAAAAACCCCAGGAATCTAATTTTAAAATTGTATTTCTGTCACAAACCTCTCATTGACCTTTTCTTTTTCCACTGAAGCTGGCAGTGTTGCGTCATTTCCTCCTGTCAATGCTGCATTTCGTGAGTTGTGTGCGTCTGTGGCTGCAGAGTTACTCACTGCATCACTGTAAATAAAGTGCAGTTTAATTATATCTAGAGTATAGAGTATTTCTCTCTAATTTATATTTTAATAAAAAAAATTGTGCTAAGCATATAGATGACTTTAGTTTAATTTTATCCATGGTTACAAATTCCATGATCATCAATGCAAACTGTTGTTTGTTGTGGTACCCTCACAGCACTGATTATTAATGAGTTACAGTAAATCTGATTTGCTGTGGCCTTGGTGCAGCAGTACCTGAACTTGTAGTCTGGTGGGAGGCTCAGACCTAATCTGTAGTCTCCCCTGCTTCTGCAGATCTGCTTCTGAAGGTCCCTGACTGAGTAGCTGCGATCACTGTGCATGTAGCCCACAAACAGCAGCTTCCCTCTGATGTACATCTGCCACAGCAACACAGAGGATTTGACATCATGTGAGTGAAGAAGGGGGTGGGGGTGATATCACCACAATGACACACGTTTACTGTCATATTTTTAAAAAAGCCTTCCAGAGAAGTGGATCGGAGTGGCACATTGATGTTATTTCTGCAACATAAGTCGTATCAGTCATGTGGTTATTTAGTTTCATATTTCTCAACAGAGGAGCCTACGGAGTGTTTACTCACAGTCCGGTCAATCATTATAAATGCTTACTGTGTAAAAACCTTGACTTAAATACAATGTTTCATGTTATGATTTATGGACAATTTATGGAAAAGCATTTTCATCTTAAAGAAAATAATCATTTGAGCAGCTGCCATGAGTTTAGTTTCACAAAAAACATTGACTTTAAAATATCCATTGTAGATAAACCAGGTAGGATGAACTCAGGGTGTTTGTAAAAAAGCTTTCACAACGTCCAGCACACAAACCATAAAAAAGTATCAGTATATTGTAGAACTGTTTAAGGAGGACTCACTAATGACAAGGAATAATTGTGCAGTAGCTCTGGAGCAGTAACTCGAGCTGAGAGAACCAGGTTTGGAACGGTGCGCTAGTGTGTTAAATAAAATAAAATAAAAATAAAATCAACAAAAAAAACATCTTTGCTCTATTTTTTAAACTACTGACAACATTTCACCCAAATTTCAAATTCAAGAGACATGGCAATGAAATGGCAGCCTTACATGTAAATACAAGACTGCAAATTCAAGACAAACGTGGTGTGGTCTCTTGTTTTTTTCCAGAGCTGTATATATACAATATATATATACACACATATACAGTCTGTGTTTATACAAGCACTGCTACTGCCTCCCTGTGGCAGCCATGGAGACATGCACTGAGCAGAGCCTGCACCCTCAGGCTGCCTGCAGAAGGTTTACTGACCAGGATCATCCCAGGGGCAGCGTTGTGTCGCTGCTGCAGCAGCATGTTGGCACGTCCACAGCCCGGCGTCCCCCCTGTTGACATCTCATACCTCACCAGGCGAAATGAATCCATCTGGCACTGAAGAAAAAAGCATGCTGTGTTAATGATTTAATAGCCTGCTGACTTTAGTGTTTCAAGACATGTTTCTTCCACTTTGTAGCAATACGATATTTTGCTGTTCTTGCAAAATGTGAATCAGTATTAAGTTAAAATTCTGCACATGTGCACTGCTGAATGAATTGAATGCTGTTTAAACTACATAATGCAGCAAATGTGTGCATCCTTCATTTGCTGCATTATGTAGTTTAAACAACAAACGAAGGATGCACACACTTTGTATCAGAGGCTGTTATGATGCTTGCCTGTGTGTGCATATCTCATACAAAATGTGCTGTTTCTTATTGTATCATGACATGTTTTGATTATTTCCCCCTGGATGTAACACCTGAGTACATGGTGTGGTTCTGTGCTTGTTCCTCCTCCTGTAAAGCTGCTCCAGTGCGTCCTCGTGCTCGTGAGGCAGAGTCACACACACTGCCAGGATCTGTTGACTGTGCGGAGGCTGGCCCATCACGAAGATGTCGTACTCCAGGTCCGTCACCGCAGGCATCAGTGTGACACTGCAGCAGCATCGCCTCCGCACCCCCTCCCCCAGCAGGGCAGCTCTCAGCAGCACAGGGCACACTGTGAGGGGGACGGAGGGGGTGAGCGGCCACGGGGCCGGACAGCGGGGTACGTTGGCGGGCTGCTGCTCTGGACTCTTTGAAATAATCACTGACCTGGCAGAGTGTAGTCATTGTGAGGAAGCCAAACTGCAGCAGATGCCATTTTATACACAATAATACATGAATGAGTTGTAATGAGAGCATTTGTAAATGACAGAAGTGGATCTTACTCAAGTTGGATGTTGCCGGGGATTTGAAGGGGTCCAATCTGAGTGACACGAGACTCCTTTGATCGCCTTTTAGGTGTCCTGAAAATAATCAGATAAAAAAAGGCCCCTTATTACTCCAATATAATGCAGCATACATCTGTAAGAAGCCAGGTAGAGCTCAAGCATTGAAACTTATCAGTAAACAGTGTGTCCCCATCACTACCACAAAACCAATCTCTGGCTTCGGTGTAAGATAGTTGGACAGATGATGTGACAGACTTAACACACAGTGTAACCACAAGTTTATTTGGCTCTATGTGAAAAAAGTAATGGTGTTTAACTGATTCGCCTCATAGCAAAAAGGTTCTTGGTTCAAATCCTGTGGAGTTTGCATGTTGTCCCTGTGTCTGTGTAGCTTTTGTCTGGCTTCCTCCAACGGTCCAAAGACATGCAGTTTAGGTTAAATGACTCTAAATGTGTTAATGTAAGTGTTTTTGTAGTGTTTGTATTTCGGCCCTGTGATAGACTGCCGACCAGGGTCCAGGTTGTACCACGTCCAATGTCAGATAAAAAAACAGATAATTACATTTAATAACTGTTTATTTATGTCTTCAGACCATTAACTAATCAAGTGACTGAACAGTTAATGTGATCACATTTGTGAAGCCCAATTTCAACACTAGATTGGCACTCAGAGTGAGAGCGTAAATACACATACACATACATTCACTAGATCTGGATTTATTTCTACACCAACAAACATTTCATTAAGATCCATAACTTATTTTCTGAAAAATTAACAAAGTGAACCAAAATGTAATTGGTTCTCCTCTGATCCTCCACCACATCCTTCAACCATGTGTTGTATTAAACTGTTCAGGTAGTTTTGGGGTAATATTGCTCACTAACAGGCAAACAAATGCAAATGAAAACATAACCTCCTTAGCGGAGGTAATAAAACCAATTCATTTTCAGCTGCTACGTCTTTCAAACTCCGCACCCTGAGTTTGTGATGCAGGTGTACTTTTTTAAATTTGTTGTCCTCAAGCCCTGATGACACCACATGCGAAATGTTCATGCCAAAGCTTGGAGACATCACACATCTGTTTTCTTTGCAGTTGACCTCAAGGCTATTAATTCTACTCTGACATGTTAAATCAGTGGACTGTGTGTGGTGTGCACCTTGGCAGCCTGACGAACGAGTCAGCAGGTCTCTCTGCTCGCACTGACAGGTGTCTGTGCGGCTCCTGTGGCTCGTCGCCGCTCTCCTCCGGCCAGACCGGTTTTGCCTCCGCTTGCTGGGGTGGGTTCAGAGAGGGAAGAGCCGCTGACTGCACCTCTCTCCTCGGCCTGGTCCTCAGCAGGGCGTCTGGCATCTGCTCCGTGTCAGGACACCTGATACCTGGAGGACAGGAAGAGGTCACTCAGAAATGCACACAAACGCCACAGTGACACGACTGACCATGAACAGGATCCTGACGGAACTATTCAATAATGTTGAGTTTGCATGATGAGGCGATACTGAAACTTTTTTTTGCTTCATTGAGGAACAAACTCAGATGGACTCATTGTTACTTTTGATAACTGGGGGCAGTTTGAAGATGGGAAAAGTGAAGATGTATTTCAGAAAAGATTTGTTCACAATCTGTGAGCTGGTACGTACCAACAGCTGCACAATAATAATCCATCCAGTCGTCCAGGGTGTTTCTAACTCTCTGCTGCAGCCTTCTTAGCTCCCTGCTGGCAGACCCTGCTCTCCTCCACCGTGCTGACGGATCCTCCAGCCCCTCCACCTCTCTGACCATCTGGAGCATCTCCTGGGTGCCCACCGACACCTGCCATACATCATTACTTGCATGGTAGACTATATGACGCAGAACAACAGGAGGCATTTAGCAAGATGTTCTATACAAAGGGACTCAGGCGTCTGCAGAACCTGTAGAAGCTCAGGCAGGAATCAAAGGTTTTCATTATTTTTATATGAGAAAAGAAAATACCTGATTATCAGGTAAGGAATTATCTACATTTCTATTTCCACATTTCTATTTCCAACACCGTTTATTATTATAATCACAATCTCTAATACAGACATCGTGTTACAGTCTGTTTCCCCATTGGTTTGTGTTTGCCCTTACATTAACCTAACCTATCTTAACTTCACCTTAACTTCAGCATAAGACAAACACTGGCACTCAAACATCACACTGGCATAAAAAGTGTTTTACAGGAGTCAGGGTCCTCTTGTTCTCCAGGACCACAACAGGGGATTTTGTTTTCCTCGCCAGCAGCAGGTCTTGTGCAAAATTAGAGGTAAACTTTCCATCAGTCTGCAAGCAGAGCTATTATAACAGAGAGAATGATAATCATATCATAAAGCTAAAATCTACTAGATAATCATAATCTCACCATTTCCTTCGGTTGGTTGATGTTGGACAGGACAGGAAGAGGAAGTTGAACACTCTCATCATTGCACCTGAAGTTGAGAGTAGCAGATGTACCACTGAGCAGCCTCACACTGATCAGATCTGATACCTGGATAAGACAGAAAGACAGGCTGATAGATTAATTTAAAAAGCTACGCAATGTTGAACTAGATTCACGGTCCCGTGGTTTTATGCCTGTTTCAGTCCCTCCAGGTGTTCCTGACTTATCACATTCAAAATAATATGGCGTCATTATTACCTTTACCTTTGACCACTGAAATCTCATCAGGTAATCTTTTGTCAAATTTTGAAGAAATTCCTTAAAGGCAGACTTGAGATATCAGCGTTCAAGAGGCCAAACATATGTTTTGTGGGGCCACTGTGACCTTGACCTTTAAACAACATCAGTTATTCAGAGAGTCCAAGTGAATGTTAAGGCCATATTTGAAAGGATTCTCTCAAGGCTTTCACAAGGCAAAAGGGAATTGTGTGAATATATGTGCCAGATTCACTCAAATATCCTGTGTTTCTGATAAGTCATGTTCACAAAAACATGAGGTCACAGTGACCTTGTTCTTTGACCACCAAAATCTAATAAGTTCATCCTGAAGCTCAAATGAACATTTGTACCAAATTTGAAGAAATTCCCTCACAGCTTTCTTAAGATATCGTGTTCACATGAATGGAGCTGACGGACGGACTCACAACCTTAAAACATAACTCCTCCGGACCACTGGGTGTCGCTGGCGTGGAGTGTGTAGAATTTTGTGATATCTAGTGTTGAAGTTGCATGTTGCAGCTGAACACCCCTCACCTCACCCTCTCCTTCCAAACATGAAAAAGAACCTGTGGTAGCTTCAGTTGTCATAAAAACTCAAAAGGTGTTTAGTTTGTCCAGTCTGGACAAATGTAAAAAACATGGCGGCCTCCGTAGAGAGGGTCCCCTCGATGTAAATATAAAGTATTTAAATATAAAGGGCCTTTTCTGGTGTAAAGAAAACTACAGTTCATACAATTTAGATGAAACGAACTAGTGAAAACATCATGAGGATTATTCTACATTAAATTTCTGCCAATAGATCCTTTCACCTAAATCTTACACACTGGAGCTTTAAACTATAGTGAATTCATTAATCTTCTCTTCATGAAAAACCCCTGTTCATCAACAAACGGACCAAACAGTCCAGATGAAACGTGTCAGAGACTCTTTTTGTTTGTTCCTCAGTGGGTCATGCATCATACCCTGTTTTCTTCCCCTACAGTGACAGGCTCACCCCAGAGTCTTCGTCCTACTTCTCTGGTCATCACCTCTGACATTTTCTTTATGCAGATATAGATACTGACACATTGTCAGTGAGGACGGAGTGAAGGAAAGTTGAGACTCCACAGAGAGACATTTCTCCAATATTAAAACTGTTACCAAGGGAACCTCATTTATTTATGACACACAGAAAATGGACGTAAGCTTTTATAACTGTATATGTGACATGTGGGTATTGTAATTTATTGTCTTTTTTTTTTTTTTACCTGTATAAGGACCTTCTCCTTCAGTGCACAGTCAGTCTGCCAGCTCCACTCCTTACTTTTCCTCCCATAGTGGTCATTCATGAATCCACCATCCTGGTCCCACACTGCTCCTAAAGAGGAGCTGGAGAAACATAAACAAAAAGAACTATATTTTACACATCATCAAAGCTGTCACACATCATTTTTATAGTATAGAGGCATTTTGCAACCACAGTGCAGAGCAAGACATGTCCAAATAGACCATGTTTAAATCAAATCCATTAAAGTTTTACTCATAGGGCTTGACAAATATACAAGGTGCAACTTCCTCTGCCCATTGACCATCAACAAGGGTAAGAGGAAAAACTACCAAAGGGGAAAAAATGAAGAAATCTCAGGGAGAGTGAGACATCCCTCTCCCAGGACGGACATACTGTAAGTGCAATAGCAGAAAAACGTCTGGATGGTTCACAACAGAGCAGCAGATCAGAACTCTGTAAACCAACAGTTGTTCCACAAAGGGAGAGATATTATAACTGTTTGGGAATGAAAATCTAAATAATGTCTTCAAAGTGCCAAAGAGGACATTATGGTTTGAATGGAATGAGCCTCATGATTTACAAACTGCACATCATTCCCAAAATGAATTCATCACATTTGAACTCACTTATGAGGGTGTGTAACAGCCCCGTGCCCAAAGGCAGTGATAGTAGCCAGGATGACGGGACAGTCGCTGTCACTGAACACGTTGGTATAGAAGCCTCCACAGGGCAGAGCTGAGTGGCTCTGGCAAACAGCCGTACGACCAGACGGGTAGCTGAGAGGCAGGGTCAAGGGTCAGAACATCAGATGCAGTGACACGTTTACCATATGCTCTAAAACTGCTCCACTTCCTGCACAAATACTGGAATTAAAACAGTTACGATGAGAGAAGGATACTATATGAACGAGGAGCCGTCGTCAATTCTGTAATGTAGTTTTTGCTGTGCTGGATCCGGCTGCTTCATTTCTGGTATCCGTGGTATCCCATTAACTAAGACGGCCTCCTGGCTCTTCCTCCTGGATCTGATGCTCTTCACATTTGCTTTTGCATCTCCATAGTGACACAGTATGAGTGGACTGCTCAGGTTCGGTGTTTGCTGCCTTCTATGTGAAGATGGAGTTGTTTTTCAATGTAATCAAATTGCAATTACTAACCGATGAAAACTTTGCACATATGTTAGCCTTCTATTTTTCAATGAATACTGAATGAGGCTGATGTCTAGCAGGTATTTGGTCAGAAAGTACTTGACTAATACAGTTTTAAACAGTGAGGATGTAACGTTGATGTTTGAACCAAATATAATGCAGATCCATACAATATTTGCAAAGACACATTAGGCTTAATCTAAACCACAAATTCAACCACCCAATCAGAAACCTTAATGCTCCAATCACCACCAGTCTCCCTACATCCAAAACATCTCATTCATGGGTCTTCTTACTTGGTTTCTTCTTCCGGCTTCTTGTTCACAATAAATATAATTTTATTTAAATGTACTAATAACAATTTTCTCTAGAAGTCTGTCCTGATAAAACTGACATTTCCAAAGCTGAAACAATCTGAAATTCAAGGATGTAAGTTTTTAGAATGTAAACCCTCATTAACACACTTTTAGTTTTAAATGCAGAGGAGCAGAGTAAAGACGCACTCAAGATTCCTTGCCGCCCGCAGTCGCTCCACCACCCACTGATACAATCTGATCTGCTGAGGCTCGACGTAGGAGGGCTGCTTCGGCTGAATGATCAGACCTGGACACAAGTCACATCCAGCTGAGGCAGCAGAGGCAGAGCAGTGACACACAGTCAAACAGAGTCAGTCACATCATCAACACAGTGAAGCAGCTCCGACGTCATACCTGGATCTTTACAGCTGCTGGATGAGATGGAGAAACTGATGGATGAGAAGCTACAAGCTGCTGGGGAGCGAGAATATAAAACAAAGTCAGTACGTCGCTTGATATCTAAATACTAGCATATCTATTTGTTCGCATTTCAACCAACACCAACCAGGGACCATATCTCTCCGATCTTGCCTCCCTTCATTTGGTACTAGTTAAATTTAGGATTTTTATTTTATTATTTTAACAACTTTTAAATCTCAGCCCCCAAGTTATATAACAGAGCTACTAACTCCCTACACTCCAAGATGTAATCTAAGCTCTTCCAACCAACACATACTAGTAGTTCCTATAAATCAAAGCTGGTAACTAAGAGGTGAACCTGGACCTTCTTGCCTGAGGAGATTAGACTTGTCAGCTCTTTTTTTTTTTAAAATCATTTCTGAAAATAATTTTATAGGAAAGCTTTTTAATGTCTGATTTGAATTATTTTTAATGAATGTTGGTTTGTTTTTAATGTTTTATCCCATTTTATCTCTCATTTTTTCATTGTCTTGTTTTGTTTGCCGTTGTTTTATTCCCAAGTATTTCGGGAAGCACTTTGTAACCTCTTTTATATAAGTGCTGTAGAAATAAAGCTTTATTATTATTTTATATTATAAGTGGTCCTGCTGCAGTGACATTAAAGAACTTAATAATGTTACTCAATAGCTTGTAACTGATTAACAGCAGTAACCGGGCCCAGCTACCTTGTCCGATCTGGTAAACAAATCCTCTCACTTCCACAAGCTTGTAACCAAAGATGTTTTCAGACTCCAGAGGTTAAGGGGAACAACTTGTTCACACCCATCATTGTCATTCTTATTGTGTTAATTCTGACATACACAGGAGCAGTTTCACTTGGGGATGGTGCCGTCTAATTCCTAGTTCTTCATGCATCGTACAGTCTGTGATGTGTACCCATGTGAGACAAGCATTTTAAGTATAGGCCTTCCTCCTTAAGAGTTCGTGTTGTACCTAAGGGCTTCATTAATTGTCCATAAGTCATTTGTTAATCACTTATAGATTGGTAATGAGCCAACTGTAAAATCTATTTTTGGGTTATGATACAGTGGAAAAGCACTTTGGCTGTTGTTCATCCACAGGGACACTTGTTTGACTTTGTATTTAGCATGGTCTGCATTAAAAACTTTTTTCACTTAACATATGCTCAAGAACATTATATTAATGTCTTGCCAAACGTTGTACCTGTTGACCCGTTAGCCTGTAAACTGAGAGACAACAATCCATCAAATGTAAAATTGCATGTTAACAAATTGTTACTTAAGATTTTAAAATGTTCTGAAAACATCTCAAGTCTGGAATAACAAGGATTCTGAAGTTCTTATCAATGATTTGTTATTTGTCTTTAAAGCATTAATGAATCAATTGTTAATCATAAATAAAATCCCTTCTCACAGATCATTTAAAACCTACAGCAGACCGAGAAGCATGGAAGCCCATTGATGTCAGTTCATTAATATGTTGGAAAATTATATGTCAAGAAAACATTTTCATAAAAAGAGTGCATGATAAATTAATAATTATGAGCTTCCCAGTCATGTGATGTGTAGTCAAGTGTTTGAGAAAGGCTTTGATCAGGCAGATACCACCGCTGATGGACCTAGAGATTTTACTCAGAGGCCATTTTTTTCTAATATATTCTTACATGTGCTTCTGCTAATGTTCATTTACCTCTGCTGGACTTCTGTTTGCGCTTTTTAACACGTGGATTAGTTTGTGGTTTACTCTCAGAGGGACCTGCACTTCCCTCTCCTGTCTCCCTCCTGCCATTGTCGCTCACATGATGGGGACTTCCTTCCAACTTCAGGGAGCCTTTGGACCCTCTTCCTTTGTGTGTCAGCTCAGGACTTCTCAGTACTGCTGCCCCTGAGGTCAGATCCTGCGAGGAGTGGCTCAGAATATTCACCAGCCCGCGCGGGACACAACCCTCTTCAGCCCAGTTGTACTGGGAAAGCAGGAGAGCCAGTTCGTTCAGTAACAGAGGGGCTGCTTGCTTGTATACGTCCATTGGCTCCTGGTTCGTTCTGTTCAGTGCAGCAGGAGATGCTGAGGTGTCAGGTTCAGGTTTGCTCTCACCACGTGGTTCACCTGTCAGCCTCTTGGCCACCTCTGCTCTGTCTCTGTTGTCATCCTCCCAGTTACTGAGAGAAAATGATTCATCAAATATAAGAATAAACCGATAATATACTATAGCACCAATGAAATACCTGTGTGTGTCCTCATGTGCTCCTTGTCCAGGTGCCACATTAAAAAGGTAAATGTTGCTCCGTGTACCTTTAACCCTGTTTCGTCTTGTCGGCTGTAGGGAAGTATATGGTTAATGTCCAGCAGTTTATTCTCAATTATACAGTCAGAAAAATGAATCATAAACTCACCTGGTCAAAGAAATACAAAGGACCAGCTCTGAGTTGTCCAAAAGAAGTCATTGTTCCCACAAGAAAATCCACAAAGTAGCTCCAGATGTTCCCAGCTATCAGAAAAACACACTACATACGTCCCTGCAACAAAATAACATAAACAAGCACAACTAAAGTGCGTTTAAATCCACTTTTCGCTTGTGTGAATGCACCCTTCGCTTCCACCACTGCGCTGGTTGCTTGGATACGCATAGTTCTGTACGCCCGAGCGGCTCCAACCTGTAACCAACGTTACGCACGAGCAGCGATCGACTTATCACACTAACGAGCTGTTTGCGTGACGATATACAAACAACATAACATCGCTCACACAAATAAGGCATCGAGCCTTTGGTAAATGTTGACACTCGTCAGGCTTGGGTTGAGGAGCTGCCGCTTGTCACAGGTGCGCACAGCAGCAGCAGGTAACATGACCCTCAGACTGTGCCACGATGTTCAGGAGGAAATGATTGATGGCAGCCAGGGACGTGCACAGACATTTTGAGGGGGGCATTGCTCTAACCTGAAAAAGAAAGCAACAACCCCCCCTCACCCCCCATGCTAGTTTAAGTTACCTCATCAGTGCAGTAGGTTGTAGTTTCCAGTGAACTATAGTTTAAGCAGCAATATGATTTTGCAACTTATGCTTAACTCTCATCTATGTGACTTCAAACCACAATATTCAAACTTTGAGAAATTAACTCTTAATGCATTCACCTCATTCTGATTTAACATCGTGTCCTTCATAAGCAACAAATTGGAAAAAAGTAATTTTGCAAATTCAGACTCTCAGTCATGACATAAACGTCGGGGATACAAGGCATCACTTTGCTTTTTTGAATTATTAATTTTAATGGCTGAACGATATCACGATTTTTTTTGGTCAAACTTACTCAACTATTGTGCTACTCATATTTATACCAATATTTAACTCACAGTAATAATACAACTTTTATTTTTCTCCAGAGGGGCAGCACTGTCAAAAAGGGCAAACGGGCAGTTACTGCAAGACGGCTTTAGTTGATGTGCAGCTCGGCCCAGATAGCATATGGATAAGGGCCACTCTTCTGGCCCTCTTATGTCCCAGACAAAATGGATGAGAGCCTAAAATAGCCCAAATAGCCCTTGAAAATATGGGTATGGTTTGGAAATCATGCAGTGCTCTCAGCCAGGTGTAATCCAGATGTGAACCTAAAGTGGCCTGTGTGTTAAATGGCTCAAATAGAAACCATTTGACACCCTTTGTGGTATTGGCTTACTTTTGGCTCAGATCTGGCAAACAGGAGCGGACCAACCAAGGGCCATCATTCCATGCAGTATAAAACACTGTGACATTGTGGACCAAATGGGCCAAAACAGTTCTGCTCAGTGGGGGGTGATGTACCAGGGCACTGCATGAAGGAGAATCTCTGCACAGTGCACAGGGATTGTGTTGCACTCCTCCTAAATGTAACTTCCTCTGCGGGAGAAAGATAACTGACTATAAAAAAAGTTTCTGGACAGAGGAGAGGATCGTCTTCCCTCCGTTCAGGTCAAGCTGTTGCGCGGAGCTCGTCCATCAGCTCCGTTATTGGCTCAGCCTCCTCCAGCTGCTCCACACTTGTTTCTTGCTTTGACCACTGGAGGCTCTCAGCAGCTTATGCGTCACTTCATCTCTCCGTCGGTCGGTCGCCGGTCATGGCGGAGCTACAGCCACAGCGAGAAGTGGAGCCGCAACTTCTCAACGGGGACGGGGACCTGAACGAGGAGAGGGAAGATGCGGATGCGTCGGAGTCAGTGAAGAGAAAGAGGAGGAAGAAGAAGAGGAGCAGGACCACTGCAGCAGGTAGGAGGCATCACTTTAAAAGCACCAGTGAGGAAAATAGCGCAAATGTGTCTCCTCTATAGAGCCACACGGTGTGAAGGCATCAGATATGCGGGACAGGAGAGTTTTCAACCTGTCAGAGGGTTTCACTGTCCCAACTCTGACAGGCTGCTGCTGCTGCTGCTGCTCATCTGGAGACGGGACAATCTGAAAAAATAACACCAGAGCTGATTGAAAGAATCCATTTGAATAACATTTACTCCAGATTAAATATGTTCCATCCTACAAATCCTCCCCTAAGCTGCATGAAATTATGTAATAGAAGTATCAACATTTTAAGTGCAACAAGATCCATCGCTCTGCACGATGATAAATTCAGCTTTACTGTTCCAAACTGTGGAAATATAAAAGCCTCGGTTTTTGAACCTGCCCCAAGTCAAGTGTGGTCCACACAGCAGTGTGTGAAAGGCTAAATGTCAGAATGCTGCAAGGTACACGTGCCCTTGAGGATATTGACCCTCAACGTATAGAAATAATTAATGCACACACTCTGCCAAGTTGAGACGTTGGTGGAGGCACTTTCTTTAAATGAACAGGAAACACATCCCTTACTCTGTGAGTTTTTTATGTTTGTCAAAATCTATTTGCATGTCTTGCCAATGGTGCACACGCACGTGTTCATCTGCACATGCATGCACAACGGTGTGTGTGTGTGTGTGTGTGTGTGTGTGTGTGTGT